AGCCATTAGAGGAAGAAGAGCCGATTTCATCTCGAAGATAATCCTTGAGCATGAGCGACCTAGATTTCGCCGCCACGAGGCTCCAATCAGAAGAAGACGCCAGCGCCATAATCAATTCAAAAACGAAATCAAACAAAATCGAAAACTAGAGAGAGAGAAACAGAGGATTTTGAATTTGTAAAGAACGATGAGAGAGGAAAAAAGTAGCAATTAAGGAGACATGGATGAGTAGTACTGGAGTGGAGGGTGGAGCATTTAAAGCACAGCGGAGAATGGGTATGGAAAAGGAAGAACCAAAACTTCCATTAATTTCAGTGTCTTTTAGAGAAAAATGAGAAATTGAGGGAAATGAGGTGAAGATCTCAAGGTAGAAGAAAAAGCAGAAGACAGAGTAAATTTATATATAAAATAGAATAGAACAGAGGAAGACGAAGAAGAAGGTTGCAGGATGGTTCTTACTGTAAGTGGGAGTGCGAGTGGGAGTGAGAGTTTTAAATTTTTGAATCGGAATTTTTTTAATGTGGGGGGTTTTTGAATTTTACTGAAACAACAAGAAAACTAATATATAAATATGTAAAAAGAAAAAAATAGAAACAGAAATTTGAAAAATAGGGCTTGGTTGGACGGGGTGAGACCCGTAGTTGACCTTCTAAATCAGCACTCTCTCTGACTCTTTCCACTCTTCACGCGCCCCACCACGTGTGCATGCATGCTACTATTAAATACTCTTCCTTTTCTTCTTCTTCTTCTTCTTTTTTTAACAATTATTTATTTTATTTTTTATTATTTCCTACTGTTTTGTTGCTTTCTTATTATTTTTTAATATTCCAAATGAATTAGTAGACGTAATTTGAAAATTAAGTACTTAATTGATAGTTACTAATTAAATATTATTAACTAATTTATTAATATATATGTTATAAATTTTGTATAATTATTATTTTATATTTAAATTTAACAAAAATAAAATAAATTTATACGTGGAATAATATATTTATCAAAAAACTATTTTATTATTTTTCTGTTTTTTAAAGTTTTAAATTCAAAATTGAAAAACAGTGAAATTTTAAAAATATTGTTTTAGTAAATTTGAAAAATAAAATAGATTTTGGATTGCATACCCAACCAACCTTTAAATTTTACTGTCTATTCTTTGGATTTATTTATTTTTATTTTATCTACTTTATTATTATTATATTTTTATTTTAAAAAAGGTGCACTTTTCATAAATTGGATGTTTACGGTCTAGTTTTATATTTTCATTGTTTTGTTTTTGTTTCACCGAATAAAGTATTTAATGAGGGCACTTGATCTAGCTACAACCAAATCAAACTAATTATTCTATAAAATAGATTTTAAAGTTAAATAATAAATTTGGGCTGTGTGTCTTAAACGGTGTAGCTTAAGAAATTTCTAAGAAATCTTTAGACTTCAATCGTATCGTATACTTAAAAAAGAACTTAAAAATAAGTATCTCAATTTTTATTCTTGTATTATTAACAAATTAATTTTTTTTTTTTACGATAAATATAGGATTGGAGATTTCAACTTCAACCTTAAAAATGTCTTTACTGTTGAGTTACAGTCAATAGTATCTAATAAATCTCTGTCATCAACTTTGTTAGTTTAGTGCCGATTTGTTATATTATCTTTTTTTAGTACACCATGTAGGAGTGGGAGATCGAATTCACAACCTCTTGATTTAAGATATATGTCAATTATTGAATTATGTTTGCTTTGGCTATATTGTTTAATGATTACGTTAGAAATCAACAAAATGAGCATGTCATATTTGTGTTAAACAAATCAATGTTAGGAACCTATTAGATAACAAATGAAAAAAAAAATTAAAGATAAACTTTTTAAAGTATTGAAATTAAATAGATAAAACCTTAAGGACATTAATACTTGTCACTTAATATAGTTTAGCGATTTAAAATATTTATATGTTCGATTAAAAGGTCGTAGGTTCGAATCTTTCCACTTCCACCTCGTATTTACTAAAAAGATCCCTTGATACTTTAAGATAAAACCTATAATTTAAAAGGAAAGGTTTATGAATTTTAATATGGTTTTCTTTTAGGTTGATTTTGGACGTATTTGGACAGTACGTGTATAAGTAAGTATCTCATAATTAAAGTTAAGTAATTAAACGATAAATTTAATGGCCAAACCCGATGCATTTATGATCTTCAACCCATCCTCAACAATATTAATGAACACATGTTTTCGGGTATATGTCACTTTTTAACTTTTTAACTTTTTGCTTTTCTTTTCTAATTTAATTTATTTACTTTTGTTTATTCTCAACACTTTATAAATTGAAACATGCGTATAATGTAAATATTAAATTATTTTTACTACCCATTTATTGATTTTATTTTTCATTTGCTTCATTTTTTAAAATTCCTTAAAGTTTTAAAAACTTAAAATTGTTGTATAAGAAAATTATAAGTTAGTTTCAAAATTTGACTTGGAATTGAAAGATGTCTTTAGAAACTCAATAACAAGGCAAAAAAATGCAAGTTAACAAATTAAAAAAAAAAACAACTTTGAATCACTGTGAAATTGTAATTATATCAACTTTTTAACCTCCAATTTTTTTTAGTACAACACTTCTCTTAATCTCCCTACTTTTTTACTTATTTTGTTGGGACGTTTTAATATTTAGACCTCGTTTGATGATGATTTTTTTTTGTTTTAATTTTTCAATTATACTTCTCTTCTTCACAATTTTCTTCCTGTACTTTTCACCGTTCTTTAAAATATATTTGAATTCGCAGCCAAATTTAAATAATAAAAACATAGATTTTGAAGACGAAGTAGATAAAAAAAACACATAAGTGAAAAAGGAGTTTTTATAAATAATTTAAATTTAAAAAACAGTAAACTAAAAGCAAAAAAGCTCTAAATATTATGCTTTAGTCTACAAATTTAATGTCCAACCAAAAAAGAGAGAGAATCTTAGTCATTAGATCTATTCCAAAACTCAATAACGAAACTTTAAGCAATTATTGTTTACATTGGACACTTACTCATTGAGTGAATAAAAAAGACACGTCACATCAAATTTCTATTAAATTATGACAACAAATATGTTTATGCAGAAGTTTTGCACAACGTTGTTCTATGAACCTAGCTCGAACCCGATCCTTGGCTCGACCTGAACCCAAGAGTGAACCTGCACAAGAGGGTAAACCCTCCGACGCTCAAGTCAGTATAGATCGAACTCCGTATTTAGTTCGAGGTGAGATTCGATACCTGAGCGTGAAATGAGGCCCTCTATTTATAGGGGGTGGATCCGACAATACTCACGACCGACGGTTATATGTCTTTTCTCATGTCGAACCTGTCGGGTTCCGAGCAGATCGAGCCCCGGCCAGGTCGAACCTCGGCATCTATACTTAGCCTTTTTCAATGGGCGAACCCGGTCTCCTCGGCAGAGCCGAGGTGGACCTTGGTGATTCCTTTTATTTAATTCTTCAACCACCAATAAGTGTCCTCCACGTGTCCTAGGTATTTTTAGCCCCAAACAAAATAAGAAAAGTATATATCTTTTAATATAAAGTTTAAGCACCGACGTATAATAAACAGGAAAATATATAAAGCAAAATATGATGCATTTTACCATATGAAGTAGAAATGTGTGAAAAAGACTAACTAGATGAAATAGGGCCAACTCCTCCCACGTGGCATTGAATTTTGATGGGGATGTAGCAAAGAAGAAGGGGCCATTTTATTCATAAAAATATATTCATAATTGACCCACAGAAATTCAAATATTAGACCAATGGGAATAGGGGAAAGAAAAAACGAGGACCACACTTGTCCAATCCTTATGAATGATCCATCTTGTGGGTCAATTATGTCTAAATTGGCCCAAAATAACTTGGGTTTTTTTTATTTGTAAATATAGTGTAAATAAATAAATAATAATAATGATAATAATAGAAATATAATCTCAAAATAAAAATTTGAAAATGGTAATTATATCTATATCCTTAATATTAGTAATATATATACCTAAAATGAAGTACATCACTAGTATATTTGATATATCGATAAGAAACTTACTTTGTTAAACTAAAATCTTCAATTTAGAGAAGATTATTCAATGATGTATCTAATATGAAGTATATCGTTCATAGACTTATCAGTGATATATTTCATATTCAGTATATTAGTTATATAGAACCATATATATTTCGGTATATTAGTTATATAACTTATGTACCTAATATGAAATATATGAGTAATAAGGATAAAGTTGTAAAATAAAATGAAAATATGATTAAATTTTTTTATTTGTCATATTCACACCACCAAAAAGTTGTTGATATACTTGTAAATATGGTAAATATCTTTTTGCAACCCATTAGTATTTTTTTTTATCAACGGTGGGTTCAAATTCACCTTTTTTGTGTAATATAATTTTCCTTTTATTTTGTTGTTGTTTTTTCTTAATATTTTAATTCAATAATGTGCGGAAATAAAAATTGGAATCTCCAATTTTTTGGTCGAGAGGAAACGACGCGAGCTGGGATTTAGAAAAATGAATGGACAAAAAGTCGAAATAAGGGTCACTAATTCCTCATCTTATTGGGGCACAAAAAATTAATCRACATCTCATTGAGATAACCTTTTCAATTTGAGTTCCAGCATAACGGGGAAGTCCATCCAAACCATGCAATCCAATGATAAATAAGAGGAGAGCAAAGATGCGCGAAGCACAGGCAGAACAAACACAGATTAAAAACCATTTAAGTACTCAGAAAAGAGATTAATAAAACATTTAATACAACATTATACGAAAAGGATAATTCCAATGAATTATATCGCAAATAATTTATAGTATATATAAAAGACACAAATAGCGAGGAATTTTTTATACCAATTTTATCATTTTAATTTAAATTTTGTCTCTATTATTTGATGGCAATTTTGTGATTCAAATCTCTCACTTAATCTTCTCAAATTCGTTCATTAATTCTCTCATCAATTTTCACTCAAATTAATCTTTAATTTTCACTTTCTCAGTCAACACGAACATAATTAAACAGTAATTGACATATACTTCTTCTCTCGAGGTTGGAGGTTTGATCCCCATATATTCTTAAATTCGCTAGTATTATTTTCCACGAGTTAAAAAGGTATTTTTCCTTGGTCTACTCTCCCCGTCTTCATGCACCAAAGTAAATTCCACAAAACATCGATTCCAAAAGGTTTTTCACGAGTTAAGAAAAGTAAAGGTAGTTGTCCCGGGTCTACTCTCTTTCTGTATTCATATATACCAAAATGAATTATCTGAATCTCTCACATTCATCAAAAGGCCAAACGGCAGGATCTTGATCGAGTCCATTTGAATTTTTCCAACAAAGTGACGGTTTTGGGTTTTGGTTCTCTCTCACATATTACCCACGCGCTGCCGCTCCAAAATGGACTCCAACACATAAAACGGGTTTCTTCTTTCATTCCCTCATATTTCTTAATGGATAAGTTCTTTGACCGCATACTACCCTTCGCTAATTACTTAACTATCCAATCCAACTTCGCTCAAATAATTAAGGTATTTATCTCTGATAAAAAAATCACGAGTTCAAACTCCCACATTCACATGTTGTGCCTTAACTATTTGAGCTACTGCCAAGTAGACACAACTTAAAAATAACTAGTGAGTAAATTTTTAATATATCAAAACTAAATATACCACATTTTGAAATGAAATGCAATCAATTTAGACATGTCCCTATGTTCCTCGCATCTTCATTTCGAGTAGGAATATAATGTTTACCTACTTTTCTATAAGATATAATTTGTAATTTAACCATAAAAATAAAAGAATTGATATTCAAAGAGCGAATTATCGAATTATATAACTTCTCTTATCTTTATTACAATATTAATTGGAAGAAAAAACATTACAAAAAATGCGCGTCATGATTTTGAATAGATCATGTACGACAGTTGATACTTGATACAGTGCCAAATCTAGAGACTAAAATTATTGTTCAAATAAAAAATCGTAATTACATACTATTACATTCTAATATAAACCTTGACTTCCTCGAACAAAAGTCCGTACATTTGGGTGCTGATTGGTTGGTTTGGAGGTTCTAAAAGCTCCACAGCGACATGTCATCACTCATGTCCACGTCACCCCACTCCACGTCGTCATGCATGCAAAAAGAAGGAGGAGAGAGAAGAAGTCCCTCCGCCATGCTGGCAAGCAGCATCGGCATGTTGGACAAGGCCTCATCGTCCACGTAAGCCGGAGGAGCTGGCTCCCACCTGGCGGGGAGTTCTCCTTCTCCGCCTTCCAAAACGGCGTCGTCCTCTTCATCCTTGCACTCATTGGCCGCCCGAGCCGCCGCGTCCCGGATGACACTCGGATCAGTAGACTCCGGAATGGGAAATCGCCACGCCGAGTCAGCAAAGTTGAGGCAAGCCGACTTGCCTCTCAACGCGAGTGCCGCGACGTCGTGCGCACGCGCTGCCATCTCCGCCGTCGGATACGTCCCGAGCCAGATCCTAGACTTCTTATTCGGCTCACGCAACTCGCACACCCATTTATCGTTGTTCCTCCGCCGGACCCCCCGGTAAACCGGGTGCCTCGTCTCCTTAAAAACCCTCCGCCCGGCCCGCCGCTTCGGCCGGCTCGCCGCCAGTATCACTTCCTCATCGGAGTGCGCCGCCGGGTGAGTAACCGGCGTGCCGGCGTCCGACCACGTCGACGATTCCGACTTGTCGCCGTAAGGAAGAGGATCGGAAAATTGACCGAAGAACATATCCATAAAAGTAAATTCCTTGTGTTTTGTTTGGCTGAATTTTTCTTTTTTCCTTTTTTGGTTCTGAATAACTGAGACTGAGATTGAGAAAATAGGCGCGTGTTTTAAATTGAAGACTGGAAAACTTGTGCGGACGGGTTTATATAGTTTGGGCTGTAGGGAATTAAACACGTGCTGGAGAAGCGAAATGCACACGCAAAAAAGTTAGAGAGAGAAGAGGGGGTGGGACAAAGGGAAATAATAATTAATTAAAACGGGTTTCTTTTAAATTCGTTCTCTTTTTTGAATTGGTATTTAAATTTATATTACAAACTAAGACTCATATTACTGAAAAGGCAACTACAGGATATGATTGACCGGTTCATTGACTGTGTAATTAAATTTAATTTTTAGTTCAATTTTGAGGAAATTATATAAATGATAAAAATAAAATGCATTTTAAATTTTTTATTTGGATAAAAGAACCATTACGTAGGAAGAAACAAAGTCAAGTTTGTCACATTTTTTTCAAAAATTAAAAAGTATTATGCTTTTTATAATACATATAATATTTTGGATATTTAAAAATATAGGTATTGTTTTGATAATCATTTTATTTTTAATTTTTGCGTTTATATATATATATAATATATCTTTTTTACTGTTTCATTAATAGTTTTTTCACTTAAAAACATATTTAAAACATAGATAAAGTTTCTAAAAACTATATTTCTTGTCTTAAAAAATGGGTTTAAATTTTTGGAAATTTTCACAAAGGCTATATAATAAAATTAGTGAAAGTAATAGTTTTAAACTAATTTTTCAAAACAGAAAATAATGAAATAGTTACCAAAATATAATTTTGGGACAAAAATGACATTTTSGCATTTGAAATGAGTTAGTTAGAAAGTAAGCTGCGTCTCGGGTGAAGAGCGTGTGAGCTACGCATGCACTCTGTGTGATGTAAAATTCGAAGCCGTACATTTTCTTTTTCTTTTTTTTTTTTATATATATTTATTGCTTACATCATCCTCTCTGATGTTGCCTGCGGGGATCAATTTTGATTAAGCTGTTTGATTTTTTTTTCTTGGAAGATTAATGATTATAATTTTATTTCAAGCACGTTTATTTTATTTATATTTGATTCTCTCTTCTAACAAAACTGTAATTTATTTTGTTATCCTCTCTTGATAGGAAAGAAAGTGAATTTCAATTTGTTATCTCATAATTTGCCGTTTATTACCAATACGTATTTTCAAATGTACCTACAATTTTTAAATTTTATATTAATATCATAAATCGATCTCATGGGCTATAAAATATCAAAATTATTCTAGATTTATAAAGAAAGTTATGACATTTAAAAAAACACATATTATGTTTATACCATTGGGTGAAGTTTTTTTTTTTGGTTGAAAAATAAACCTCGCATATGTATGGATGAACTTTTATTTAAAATTTGAAGTTTGAGCCTTTCTATTACAAAWTTTTTTATTTTTATTTGTTTTTGGGTTTGTTTGTTTGTTTTTTTTTAAATGGGGGTTGTTTATTTTAAGAATAAGAAACTTATGGATAATTTATCAGTAAATTGGTTTAATTTTGAAAAATATATTAATAAAAATTAAAGGTCAATGAAAAAAGTTATTATTTTTTTTATTATAAATCAATATCACACCGGTCAAAGTTCGAACTCACAACCTTGAAATAATAATGTTACATATATTAAATCTAAAAAGGTAGTATTAGATATCCTATCAATTAAATTTACTCAACTCATCAACTTAACCTTTTGAGTTTGAACAGTGATTTATTYATCAACTACCATTTTCAAAATTCACGCTCATATGATAAACCTTTTTGAAAAATTTTTAGTTTGAATTTTGAAAACCATTTACAGAATACACAAAAGAAAAAAAAAATCGACAAGTATCGATATTCCAAAAAGTAGAGAATAAAAGTGAAATGGGTATAAAATAAATCATGGTTTTGAAGATTAGGCAAAAAAAAGGGAAAAATCCATTTTGAGTCTAGTTTAATATTTAGTATTTTAAAATTATATTTAAGGAATAAGTTGTTACTGGGCGTTCACACACGGCCTCTGCCAGCTGTCTTACGGTTAGCCCACGGAGTCACGGGAAACACGTGGGCTAAAACTTGAAAGCAGTCTGAGTTGGGCTTTTCTACACGAGCCTTATGAACTGGTTTGGGCCGTGACGTCAGCTGGTCAAGCCCAGGACCCTTGAAAAACATAGTTGGCCTCACTAAAAATAGCAACTTAAAAAATGGAAATTCTGGACAGTACCAAAAATAAATAAATAAATAAAAAGAGTAACTACGAGCCAATAACAATGTTTGAATCAATAATGAATTACTTCCAAATAACAAATTTATTACCATTTAGATTTTCCAATTATATCCAAAGTTGTATTTACAATTTACTTTGATAAAAGCAAATATTTACTCATAGTTTAGAGAAGTATTACGTAAAAGTTCCATTTAACTTTTATTATCAAGTAGGTTTTTTTTCTTCTTCAAAAAGATTCAGATTGGTTGATTTTTTTTTCTTTTATCAAATTAAACAATTGAACCAACCTCCTTAATCTAACTAAACCATTAAAAGGTAAGAAACCAACCTCCTTTAGTTCCGCACTTTCAAGTAAACTTAATTATTTATAGAATATCTAACACTTTCATCACTTGTAAATGGAGAGAAAAATGACAATACACAGGTTCGAACACAAGATCTCATGCTTTGATACCATTTTAAACACATAAATTCAAAAGTTTAAACTAATATAATATGATAAATTTAATTATTTATAGGATATTTAACACTCAACCATCAAATTCTAACAAATCATATTTTAATATATGCATGTACAAAAAGGTGTGCCTATGACTAAACATTTGAAAATAGTATCACTATAAAAAAAAATGATGAATGATCAAAACTCTTAAAAGCAAAGCAAAGAAAAGAAAGAAAAAGAAAAAGGCATTATGATTGAAATTGATAGGGAGACAATAGCTAGGGGCACCTTCTATTACCAAATTTGAGAGACATTTTCAAGAGAAATAGAGAGAGGGGGTCCAGAAAATTAAAGGAGAAGTCTTTTAGGCTTTTTCATTAAAAAAAATGGCCAAAATGGAAAGAGGTACAATATTGTGTCAATCTTCAATAGATGCTCTCTCCCCTTTTGCCCTTATTCTTGCTCACAAATTTTGAGAAACCCAACATTACAAGCTAACTTTTTTTAATTTTTCTTTCTATTACATTTTTAGTCGTGATAGTTTCATACATCTTGATTACCAACGTAATTTGTATGCTCCAAACAAATATAGTTTTCTCAAATACTGAAAACTAAGATTTAACGTAATTTTCCCATCTCAAAACTAATTGATTATGAGAGGAATAACTCATGACTATTATAAACCATTGTTATGTCCATTTTCTTTTCAACGTGGTATCCTTAGCCTACAGAAATCCAAACAAACATTTTAAAAATATCATCAAGACTAAAATAAATAAAAGTTAAAAAGTATAGAATTCAAAATAAACCTTATAAAATACATAAATCAAAGTAAACCAAAATCAAAACTATACCAATACAATACTAAAACTAAGAAAAAAAGGGTTGATGCTTCGACCCCACCTAAAATTCTTTTGAGAAACCCCACATTACAAGCTATGAGTTTTTTTCCTTAAATTTTTTAATAAAATAAAATATTAGTATCCTTATTTTCTTTCGAATTTTTTAAACTGAATATTTTCCGACAAACTTTTTTTTCCCTGGTACCTGTCTAAAAAAGATATTTGAAGTCGGTAATATAAATTTTTATTTTTATTTTTTCCTTTGTGCGAAAAGTTTGACTAAAGGGTGGTTTGATTATGGTTATATTCAACGACCTTTGACCTTTTGGTTTTCTTTTTCATTCATTTATTATGGGCAGATAGTTTTTAGTTAATTTAGTTAAAGGGTCCCCATATGATATAAAAAACTCATCTTTTTTATTTTTCTAATTCCTATTTTATTATATAGCAAAGTAATATGACTCTATTTAGTATATTTTGATAAAACTATTGCTTTATTGAAGAAAATAACAAAATTACAAATTACAAATTTCATTCTCTCAAACCAAACATTGCTTTCACATTCTTGAATTTATTGAATCTCGATTCACACAAGTTTTTAAATCCCATGATTATTTCTTAAACCCCAAGCTTTTTTTTTCTCTTCAAATGGAAATGGATTCAATGAATCTGTGACAAAAATTATTAAGCTTGAGATAACAAATTAAGATTTTTGTTAAAAATCAATGAGAAAAATTTAAACATGTCTCCAATATACAAAATTTAGGGACTAATTTTTTTTTTTTGAAAGTGTTTAAATATGAAAGTTTCATATGTCAAAGTAAGATTTAAACTTTTTTCTTTTTTTAATTTTTAAGTAATCTCATTTACGACTTCTCATGATATTTTAAGCGATCTTATTCCCACCTATCAAAGGCTTACTTTTTCAACCCTATCTCCATAACCACCAAAACCTTGGGGCAGTAGTGCAATGTCTCAATCCATACCCAAAGTGGACAAATCCCATATATAATATATGAAGATCATAAAATTGTCAATGATTAAAATCACATTCACTCACACTTACATTATATAAACATTTTAGAAAACAACCACTTTCATATTTAAAAGCATTATATTTGATATAAATCCCCACAATTTCTATTCCCTGTAATAAAATATTATCTCCTCCACTTCCATTACAAGAATCTGTTGGGGGAAAAGAACATGGCATGTTTTGACAAATTAAACCCTAAAGGGGAAAAAAAAAACCCAATTTGTCTAATTAGAAAAAAAAGGTTAAAGAAATTTGATGTCTTGAAAAAACATATATATATTTATAGTGGTTTGAATTTTGAACGTCAGCTTAGGGGTGGTGGTGATGCTGTAAGAGAGAGAGGAATGAATGGATGTCAAAGGGAAGAATGAAGGTGTGGGGATGTCGGCCAAACCTCTGTCTCTCTAATTAGTCAAATTTTTTAATTTGTTGGTTTCATTAAAAAAGTTTTCTTAGAAGGGAATTTGTGCTTCATTTTGTTTTGTTC